CTTTTTATATAAAAGACTATAGAAATAAAATAACAATTTGTACTCTGACTAGAAAAAATAGTACTGCATTGGTTTCAGAGTATATTAATCAAGGTAGCATAATAAAAATTGCTACATGTACCTTTTTTAAAAAATGAAAAAAATATAAAATATATCTTATGAACGCAAACACACTCAAGTTACAAAAATTTCATATTATCATAAGTAAGTAATTTCATTCAATCATAATGAAAATTTTTGTTTCTGAAAATTAGCAATTATTTGCTATAACATCAGCATTTTTTCTACTATAATATTTGAAAAAAAATATCATTCTTAAATGGAAGTAGGCTAAAAACATTAAGACACATTAAGTCTCCTTTTTTTCAGAGTAAATCTTTCCATCTTCCACAGGACTATAATAGAAAGACATTTCATCAAATTCAGAAACAGTTGCGTGCGGCGCCATAGCAGTATATAATGCATAATGTTCAGCTTCTGTTAATTCCATTCCATACGGTGGTGTTTCATCGCCTTCCAATCTAAGTGATTTTACGCTAGTAGTACTTACTACACTAGTTTTTGGAATTTGTAATTGTGAATTATTTGATGTATTGTTTGTTGTCAAATATGAAACATTTCCTGTAGTAGTCAAAGATTGAGTAGTTTCTTTGGGTACATTTAAAATTGTGTCTTTATCTTTTTTCACTTTTTTTGCAAATAATTTTGAAAATAATCCTTGTTTCGAATTTTTAGTTAGAGTACTAGGTAGGGAAGGTAAAGTTTTATTTGGTGCTTCAATAAAAGAATCTGGTGTAGTATGATAAGATATAGGACGAGGTAAAAGAGGCATAGAAGGCATTTTTCGGATACGTTTTGGTGGTAAAGGCGGTAATCTTTCTTCCATTTCCTGTGTTCCATCTCTTTTCGTAGTCATTGGCGGAGAAGGACAAGATTGATTAGTATCTGTCTTTAGTACACATACATCTTCATATTTTCTCTCGTTCGATAAATCAGTAAATTCAATAGGATTTTTCATAGCCATTTGTAAACTAGTATAAGTCTGATTATCGCAAACATCAATATCCATAGTTTGATCGATTGTATTCTGTTCAAACGCTGCCTGTACTAACTTTGCATGTGTATCAGCATAAATTTGATCTAATTCTGCTACTTGTGTTAATAAATCATTGAAAGACTTATTACAATCTTCTGTCACTTCAATTTTAAAATCTATTTCATTTTCTTTTTCTTTGAGACATATTTGTCCTTTTTGTACCCATTTACTTACTTCAGAATAATCGAACCAATCAGATTTATCTTTAAAGATTTCTGTATTTTTTAATACGCACGCGTTTTCAACAGTATTAGATTTAGGACGAGTTGAAATTTCTAAATTCATATCCTTCGTTTCTTTGTCTATATAATTGGGATAAGATTTGTACATTCTATTTAATTGTTCGTTTTCTATAATTCGTTTCTCTTCATTGATTGATAAATCATTATTTCGATAATCTATAATAGTGTTTTTAGCATGATCTATATTTTGTGCAATATTTTGATTTATTTCCATACTTCCATTATAAGAATCTAATGTATTTTTTACATTGTACAAATCATTTAAAGCACGTAACGCAGAAATTTTATTATTCCATTTTTTTGTGTCGAAATCATTATTATTATATTCGTCAATATTACGCGGAAATTTCGGAGTAACGTTTGAAAACAATGTCGGTTCAGTAGCTAAAATTTTGCCAAATGAAGTGTAATCTGTTTTCTTCCTGGCAAATGCTTTCCGTAAAGACCAGAAAGCAGGCCTACCTGCACCGAGAGGTAACATCAAAAAAGGAAATGGTTCGCTTGTTGCACCATCCGATGGTCTTTTAAGTTGAATATATACTTGCACTGGTTGTTCCACTTGCTGCATACGATAAGTCGGTGTTCTAAATGCAATTGCTGTCTATTAAGATAAATCAATTCATCAAATTAGTATTAATGAAGATACAAAATTTAAGTAATTTTATATAAAAATCGAATTTCATACTTGTTTATGTACATGAACAGGTTGAAAATCACCAAATCCTTCCCAAAGCACTTGTCCATCTTTTTCTTCAAAGAATCTAACTTGTATATCTTCTTTTGCAACCTTTTCACATAATAAAATCATTTCCATACCACCAGCGACTGATGCGTTACTATGACTGAGTTTGCATATCACAAGATCTGACATTGCCTCTTAAATATTTAATATTTAATTATTTAATACATAATCGAATAATTGATATCTTGATAAAATATAATTAATCTGAACATACTTTTATCAAATATAGGGTCAGATACTACTGGTTGTAATGGCACATTGAATTTTCTTTTCTGTGATCCTTCTAAAAAAACTTGAAAGCATAATCTCACTGCATTGAGATCAATACTAGTAGGTTGTCTTTTGTGTTCGAAGCCAGCTAATAAAAAATTAAATGTGATTTGTTTTGTGCCAAATATAGTTAAATAAATCTACTGAATTTTAATTTACTTCGAAAGGGATCTACACGAATTTCTTCTCTTATTTTAAGTGCCTCTTCAATATCTTTTTTTTTTACACATTGAATTCCAAGATTTGCAAATGTAACTGTCATATTCTCTGATGAAATTTCTACTGTACAAACACCTTGTTTACATGCTTCCTTTCCAACAAGATTATGAGGATGAGGTCTATATGGTTGATCTTTTGTTACACATGATACTACAACTAAAGCTCGACCTTTATAACCAACTATCTGTAATCAGTATTAATTATATATTATTAATTAATATTATTATATATTGTTTTTTTTGTTCTTACTTTTATAGTAGGAAATGTTTTATTTTCTGATGTACTGTTTACACCAGGTATACTACCAGCTGATCTGCCTTCACATTCATAGCGAAAACGTAAAGCTTTGCTTGCCGGTTGTTCTATTATTTCAACATAAGGCAATAATCGTTCTGTGTTCATTTCTCTTGGGATTTGATCTTCCCTCCCATTATATTTAGTATCAGTTTCAATGACTTCAACTATATAAACAAATTATGAAATAAAATATGTAAAATGTAATTTATGAAATTTATGTAAAAATATAATAAAATTTTCAATACTTACTGACATCACTCATATGTATATTTCCATCACTCATATCATGGAATTGTTCCATGCCTCTTATTGTTTAATACATTGAACAATAGTCATCTGAAAAATAAATTTTTTATCATATTATGTTATTAAAATAATTTCTATTTTATTGTATTTCTAATATTATACAAATTTTTTTTTAACAATTCTATTAGAATAATTATATAGAATATAAAATGATTGTAAAGTAAAAATATATCAAAAAATTTTTTTTATTCTTTTATGTATATTTTGAATATTTTATCAAAGTGAAAGCAAAAATTAACGACATGATTTAACTTTTGACAGAAACTTCATAACATTATGTAGAAAAAATTTCGCGCGCGTTTAGTTAAGATAAATGGAAATATAATAATTGGATAATAATAAATACCTAGGAAGAAATAAAATGTATAGAAGAAAAATTGATTTTAAGATCAATTTTTTTGATATAAAGAAAATTAAATGTTCATAAATTCATGAATCGTTCATCTTGGTAGAAAAACATATTTATGTCGCAAAAGATGTCGTATAGATGATGATTGATATAAAACGTATTAGATATAACTTTTGATTAACACTAGCAAGTGAATCAAACACATATTAATGAACATGAATAAAAATTTGTTAAATCTCTAGCAAGAAACGACAGCTGTTCACAGGTATACTTCTAAAGACACTGCACACAAGTGTCCCAAGTCCCAAGGGAAGAGAAACGAGAGTAGAGAGTGAGGAGGGATACCATGCTGATCCAATCATTATTTTGGGAAAGCCTAGCTTCGTACAAGCCGTGCAGCTATAATTAAACTATCGTAGGACAATGTGACGAGAAAGACTTGCCTGCAGCTTGATCAACATAGTAAGGCACTTTCGAATCTGAAAGCACGCGCACTGTTTTGGATAATTCTGCTAATAGGAAATGCTTATATTCTTGAAATTTTTTTATAAAATACACACTGTGTTAAATAAATTGAAGAAACGCGATGTATTAATGTTTAGATCTATAATTGAAATTCTTTTATTTGTCAAATATTGTTGCGCACACTATTTGCACGCGACATAAAAGCATGCACAGCCGTGACTAGAGACAAGACTTTATGCGGCATAACATTTTGCTCGGACTTTGTATCGGTACTGACATGTCCGTTGCTTTTAATGGTAGAAGCAAACCAATATGCTATATGCTTCGCGAATACGCGCAAGTACGCGAACTCTGACGGTTCTATACTCACAGCCAATTCAAAGTGAGTGAACGTGTGTTAACATGATATATTACCTTTCGATTATTTCCTTGAAATCCATAGATCTGATGACGTCGAATTTTTTAATTTCTTAATTCTTAATTCTAATTCTCTTCATATTTTTCATATTATCTTTTATATTGATTGTATTTCTTTTTTTTGCATATTTTTAAACTTGAATTTGTGAGTTGAAAATCACTAATAAATTACATATGTTCAGCGTTTTTTGGCATAAACGTATTAAATAGCTTATATCTAAAATAAATTTGTGTCTAAGGTTCAGCGAATTTATCATATGTAGATTAAAATTTTCAGGGACGTAGATAGGTTACCAGAGACTAGGTACTTGGTGTCGGATGAGTCATGCAGACACGTCACATAATTCTGTTTTATCATGTGAAATTGTAGAGCGTTAGATAATCAATCATATCTATTTACTTGAAATTATATAAAATATTATTTGTTATAAATATTATGTTCGATAACTATCATTTATATTTCTTTTATATATTATAGTTTTGGAAAAATCAATTTCATTACATTTTTTGATTTTAATTATCCTTAAAAGTTTTCGTAAATTATTTATTATATTATATATAAAGTAAATTTGAATTTTTGAAACATTTTAAAATGCAAATAAAATTTACTTGCTTGTAATTTGCAATTATACTGTAAATCAGATCTATGATGCATTACATAAGTTTTAATCGCTCCTTACACTCATCGTATTGTAGGTGTATTCAATTTATGCAATTCTATGAAGTAGATACGCAATCGTACGATTAATTCATAAGTTATAATAGTTAAAATAAGAAATTAATGAGAAAAGCATTCATCATGGACAATGTGACTTCTTTATTTGGTTAAAAATATTACTGTTACTATTTGCAAAAGTTACGATGCTTTTTTGTCATCTCTTACTCTCACTCGTTTTGTCTCCATGACAAGAGCAAACAACATTAATAATTTTTATAAAGAGTTTACTCGTGAACTGCAAGCGTGATGCCAGAAACTGCGATCACTCCGAAAAGCTCGTCTTCCCTGAGTGTTTCAATAAGCTCCAGGGAAGAATCGAATCAATGTTTTACCAAGAAAAGATTGACACGATGCATGCAACATAAATTTCTTACATATTCGCAACTTCCCATAAGATGTCAGAAACCCAGCCGATACTATCGTCCGCCAAGGACCTCCTTCAGATTGGCAAATCTCACAACCATCAATCATACAGCTACAATTAATACGGCGAAAAGTTGTCCGGACAGTTCAACATGTTCGATATTACGTGCAATCAGTGCGTCACGTTACAAAAAGAGTTTATCCATGATTGACTTTTCACCTTTAATAATGGATACTGAATATGGCGATTTTAGGTAAAGTTTATGAATAATTTATAATAATTTGAATTAATACAATTGATTCTTTGGTAATATAGATCGGACAGTAGTTCAACTATAGAAAAACTTGATGAAAGTGATAAAATGAAAGATACTATTGGTAATGAAATGGGTGTCGGTATTGGTATCAAAAAGTGGATGGATGGATTCGTAACATCAGAACCGGAGGAATCGTATTCCCATTTCTTTCAAAATCCAAAGAAAGCAGCAATTTTGGTGTGTCATGTGCTTATGTTAAATGCATGGAGACGCAGACGCAGCGATGTTCAATATCTTAACAGCACAATTGACGATTTAAGCCAGCAAATTGAACATTTGCATCTACAAATTGTCGTTTTGCGTCGATTGCTCGATACGGAGAATAGTCGTGTCAGTAAATTGACCAGTGATGTTCACCGTGCCAAAATGCAATTTGACGAAGTACTGAAAGAAAGGAATACTCTGAAATCGGTAATTTTCTTAATACATATTTAAAAATTGATAAGTTTTAGCAATTATACGAAACATAATTAATTAATTGAAAAAAAATAATATCTTCACGTATTTAACATAAAATAGTAACAATGTGCGCATGTTAAGAATAAGAGCTATACATTCAACATCTTGCGGACGATGAACATGAGAGTTCAATGACGTGTATCTAACTAGAGGGATGACGCTAGCATAAGAGCTCGCAATACGACTTTTGGGACACGCAATAATATATGTAGTTATAGAGACGATCGAATTTTCGGCATTCCTTGAATAAACAAAAATATCTTTCAAACAAGTTCAATAACTTACTGTTACTTTTATATTAACAAAAATTTTCTATTTTTCATCTCATTCAAATTTTCTTGTACATTTAAAAAGAAATAATTTGTTATTCTAAATATTTATAATATTTGAATGTTTATAAATGCATAAACATGCATTTATTTTGCGAAATGTAATGGAAACATGCGTCGTAGTCGAGTCATTAATTAGTATATACTATATACGCAAACGAGAAGTTGGCACCGGTCCAGCAGCTAATTGTGAAGCGAAAGAAGAAACTATATCGCGACGACACAGCATAGATAAAATTGGTTCTAGATACTTTCGAAGATTTACGAAGTTTAACTTAGCATTGAGTTTTCACGAATTGGGTTCACCGTTTTCTTTCAGGAAAAAGTAAAATTGGATGAAGAGATTCAACGTTTGACCGAGCTTTCCGAGGAAAGGCAAGTTTCAACGGAGAATATGCGAAACGAATTAATCACCGCGCAAAATCAACTTCAAGCGGTCGACGAACAAATGTCAAAGGATCGAGAAAAATTGCTGAAATTACGAGAGGATAAAAGGATACTTTTAGAAAAGGCTAGAACACTTCTTGTATTATAATTTATAAATTATCTTTAATGATAAATGCAAGCTTATATATTATACCATTGTAAAAATTGATTTTTACTTGGTGAGTCATTGTTATGCTCGCGAGAAACGAATCTGCAAAGGGTGAATTCTCTTTCAATGCAGTTTTTTTTTTCTATGAACGGATGAGTCATTCGTTCACCCTTTCGTGCTTAGAGAACGATCAATCTAAAATGTTACAACATATTTTTATGTTTCAAATTCCTATGATACAATTTTATTTATTTTTTATTTTAATATCATATCTTAAATATCTATGGATTAAGGATAGTAATAAGAGTATCTGATGTACTTAAACTTACTTTAAATAGGTCAATGCACGAAAGGACAGAAGTTCGTGGTTGAGTCATACTCTTTCTACCTTATCGATGACTCAATAACATTATAATACTACTTTCTTACCGAGAAAAGCAATCGATATTACTTGACCTATTAATTCTTACTTGGAGAGTGTAGAATCAAAACAAAACTCGTGACATTATGTTTATTAGAAATAATAATAAATTTTTTTTTTTTAATTTTTATAATTCTTGATTCTTTTCGTGAATTTTATCTTAAGAATAATCATTTATCGATTTGTTAAATACGTATGAAAGAAAAATGTAATGTTATTTCAGATAACGGCTAGCGAAACATTAGCGGCGGAACGAGGAACAAGAGCAGACAAAGCTGAATCAATCGTGGAGGATTTACAGATGAAACTTGCCACACAGATTGCTATGGTTGAATCCTCGCAGGAACAGATAAAACGATATTCAAAGTAAATTTAGCATACGTAAACAATTTACATTATTCCAATATAAATTTCTTTGTAGGGAATTGAAAGTTAAAGAGGATGAAAAAAACAAGTTAATTAAGCGCTTAAAATCATCCGAAGATGCAGGGAGAAATCTAAATATGCGCGCCATTTCTTTAGAAGCACAACTGGTTGACCGAGAGGTAGCCTTACAAAATATGCAAGCAGCGTATAATACGCAATTGTAAGTTTTTTTATTTTTTTTCTTTTTTTGAGTGATATTATTTAATATTAAAATTAAAATTCGTTGTATTAGAACCGAATTGAGTGAATTGAGAGAACGTTTAATACGTCAATCTCAAGAAGGGGGATGGAGTAGTAGAATGTTGCAATTAGCTGGTAGCGTTGTACGAGCGCCAAGGGCTATATTGCGTACTTTACTATCGGGCCCAGTGTTGGTTTCCTAAAGATAGCTTGGTAAGTTACACATAAAATTATAATATCTATTAATAAGAGCATAATAATCGTTTGTTTTTATAATTTTAGTTGCTGTTCTTGTTCAAGCGTGATTGCGTTAAACAAAGTGTTCAAAAAATGGAATTTCGAGGGTGATGGTGTTGGTTGTTCGATAAGAGGAAAGAGAAAGGGAAGATTTTAAGTGTGAAAAGAGATTTTACGTTGAGGAAAAAGAGATATATGTGATCGCAAAAAGACGAAAGGAACGAAAATCAGTTTCAAACTGGTAGTAAACTTTCCGGATACTTTTATCATCGAAATTATAATATTTTTTATTTATATTTTTTTTTCTATTCATATACTTTCTGATATCGTAAGCTATATAAGCATTTTAAATTGAAAAGAAATGATATAAATGATGATTATAAAAAAAAGTTACTAATATTATGATATTATACTAGAATACAGACAACTATTCTGCGAAACTAAGGATGGATAAATAAATGCAGATATTGTACATTTTTTAAATCTATATTTTATCTTTTTTCGCGTAACATGATAAAATGATAAAAATAAGATACCGTCAGAATCGCTCAATGAAGATGATTTATTTCTTTTTATTATGCAATTTCGAATAAATATATTCAATAAGCAATTAATATGTATATAGACAATCTTAATTGATTGTATTTTACGTAACGTTTAAGTATACATTTTTAACCAAGATAAATAAATTTTTGTAATAGAGCGATACTCATGGTATAATATTTTTTTCAAAAAAACACGTTACAATAGATCGTAAAATCTAAGTAACCACGTACGAGTGACACAAATACGACGTGTCTGATCACATTTCTTATTATTATGTACTTAAGTACAAGATAACATTGATTTTCATTTTGTTCGATAACAATATGATTTCTGCGGTATATTTTTTCATGCTTCTGCCAGTATAGTAAACATCCTTTCTTATTTGAGGCTTTCGTACGGTAAGTGAAGATACGGCACAAATTTTAGTGGAAGATTCATTCTTATTATCACAAAATCGTTTTATATTTGAATTGTTGTTGGATGTAATTTTATGTAATATTTTCTAGACGATCTAAAACATCTTTTATGCATAGATTAATTCTGACAACAAATAATGTTGCCCTACAATCTTGAAATTCGGTCATACTCATTGATTTATTACTCTTCAAAAATTTATAAAGAAACATGAAAATAAAAAAAATGCTTGGTGCATTTTTATTTGCAATAAAAAAAATTTGTAAAAATTATACTTATGGATGTAAAAAAAATCTCATCTTTGATTGCTCTGTAATATCAGAGTTAAAAAAAAAAAGAAAAAAAAATAAATAAAAAGAAGGAAATAAAAGACAATAATGAAAAAATAATACATTTTCAAAATATTTTTTTCTTCATTCATTTATATATTTCTAGCGAAGAGTAAAAGACAAAAATACTGATTAGGTGAATGACCTAAACCTCACAACGACCTTCTCAAACTTTATAATATATATAACTAACTTTAGCTAATTCGGCAACTATAAAAAAATGTTTCATTGTGTATTAATAAATTGTACAGTTGATTATATCGAATTTGATGGCTTGAGGAACGTGTATGTATCTATTTTTATGAGTAATAAAATTTAGAATATTTTAAACTATAACAAATCTTGATACAATAAATTGAGCAATTTTGATATTTCTATAAGATTGCTCTTTGTATCACCTTTTTATAAAAACGTTACCACAAGCCAGTAAAAATATTAATATCGTTATTTATGTTTTGAAATATATTGGATTGTTATATTGATAGTCATTT